CCTTGGCGAATTAATGGCTCAATCGTATACTCGTACGTATACCTGCTATTGCTCTATTTTTCTCATTACTAATGTTACTGGACGGTTTTGGTAAATTGCCCTCATGAGGTAATGTGAAAAGTGCTTCACTGTAAAGGTGAAAAACCTCCTCGTTTTGTGTCGATAATTAGGTGAAGGCGAACTTCTGCTACATATTTCCAATCTTCTCCATCATCTTGAACATAGTGACTTGTTCACTGCAGTTTGATTTGAATCATTTTTTGTTGTAAATATATAGATATTTGTGTTCGAATAGATGTGCCCTATTAGTGCTCGTCTGTGTTACCAGTCGCCTGTTTCTCTTCGCTCCGATCCACACACACTGAATCATTTCGCAGCGATAGGTACTGGTTGCGTAGTCTCATGGAGGCACCATGTCGAATTAGGCATTCTCCTCGAAGGGTTCACTTAATACTGTCTCTCACCATTTCTTACGGGAGTTCTATCACTCGTTTTCTTCTATCATGATCATTCATTCTAGTCATCACACCCATATAAGTATTTTGTTTTCCAAATGCTTTTTTTTGAAAAAAACAAATGCTCTTCCGCTATGCTTATTGGATATTGTAACACGTATCGATAGTAGAGTCGCTAGAGTGCTCGCGTTTGACAACACTAAAATTTTCTGTGGTATTTGTACCAGAGCCTGAGCAAACATTGGCAAAGCAAGAGAGTGAAAACAGGTGGAAAAAAACATCGGTGTAGAGGTTTTTCTACGAGGGAGAAGAAAGCGACGTAGCGTCAACAGCTACGCCCTCAACATGTTTTCCGGGCTCCTTCAAAGAGAATTTTCCATTCGTTGAGAAGAGAATGTGTTTGAAAAGAGAGACCTAGATGTGTTTCACTTTTCACAGAGGCTCCTGCGTCGTAAAATTGAGCGAACGAAAAAAATCTCGTGCCTTAGTGGTTTTACGTTTCAAATTTTAAGAGCAACTTTTTCTCAAAACGGAGCCTTTCTTCGCTCTTAGCGTATCATATAACATGAAAATACTTGTACTGTTGGGGAGCATTGTTCAAAAATCTCACGTTGCACCAATTCGACCGAGCTCGGCTCACCTCTCTCAGGAATAATCGGCAAAAGTAATCACTGAATACTATTTTTTGAGTTATTCGAGGAGACCTCCACTTCGAAGCCATCAGGCCTTCTTGCACGGGTGAATGCAACGTAGAGTTGGTCGTGGGAGGAAAGGGCTTCTAGAGGGGACCCACCCACTTCGATAAACGATTGTCTCAGCTTAATTGTTCGTCATTGCAAAGCCTATGCGCGTTCGAAAGTGGCGACGATGAAGCTTGAAAGGAGTCCCTTGATCCCACTTGGAGGGGCTACTGATCCCAATAAATGTCTATACTCCGATTTATCGCCAGCTAATTATTTCTATCTCTTCAAATAAATCTGCAACCTAACGTAAAACGTGGAAGCGTTACGACCTTCGGGCGCGTTCCATTGCACAATCTATTTGCGACGTCTAAGTTTCTTGATAGCATAACTGTCGCGCCTTTTTTTCGGGTGCAAATCATGCTTCCCACATCCTATATAACCTGCCAGAGTGTCAGAGTTCAACTAATCACAAGAAAGACTTTACTTATCCAGTAATTCCCAGCATATAAAGCTCGTTATCAGTTCCTATGAGACTTTATTACTTCCTATTACATGCCACTAGTGTCCCCATCCTGACATTTGTATGCCTTCTCTCCGAACTCGAATGCTTTAGATCCACGGGAACAGTGGCTGGGAAATTATGCTCAAAAACTCAGTTCGCGCAAACCCCGCCTCTGTGTGCGGAGCCCGGTCCTGCCACCTATTATCAGCGCTCCTACAATGTTGCCTGTACTCCTACTACGATTTAACGCTCTACGGTCCAATTGAAAATTCTCGCACAAACCCCTCCCTTTGTAACCGTAGCTCAGCTCTGTCACCCACCATAAGTGCTCGCGTCCTGCCACCTGTTTCCCTACCAAGTCTGAAGGCCATATAGCCGAATTAAAAAATTTCGCGCGAGCTCCCCCTCCTGGGGTCAGGGTCTGGTCCTGCCACCTATTATCAGCGCTTTCACAATGTCGCTTGTATTCCTGCCGAGTTTGAACGCCTTAGCGCCAAATTAAAGTTTTTCGCGCAAACCCCGATCCCTGTAGGCGGATTATAGACTCGCCGCCTGTCATCAGTGTCCCAACAATGTCGTTTGTACTCCTGTACGTTTGTACGAAATTTGTATGTTTTAGGTCAAGTGGGACAAGAGTTATGAATCTTTCTTCAGACACATTCATGCCCTAGGTCACGTGGGAAAGGAGTTATGAATTTCAGGCCGGACACATACACACAACCAAACAAACACGCTAACAGACACACTTAGCGGATTATATATGTATATAATATAAGTAGGATCATCAGCTAATATTTCATAATCTGCCCAACTCGCCGGACCCGTTCCTGACTTTCGCTTGCTGACGGAACTTTGGTTTTACGCGAGTAAGTGGGCCGCATGCCTGTATAAGGTCTGAAATGAGTTTTTGAAGCATAAATTAAATAAGAAAGCCAAGCAAGTTAAGAAAGCAATCCGCCTCGTTTCCTTTACGGCTTCTTCTTGTTTCAGCACTCTTGAGTGCTATTACTTTCAATAGATTCCTTATGCTTATCTGTTGAATTACACCGTTTACCACGCACTACGAAAGCAGTCTCATGTGTTCAGTCGCGAAGTGATATTTCCCAACCGCTGTCAAATACTGCTTGTACTAGTTGCCAATGTATTGGTTTTGGTTGTTGGTTTCATAAGGTCTCTATTTGGTTTCATAAGCATGCATCAATCGAGAAGCGTAATCAGTGTAATTACCGACTACCTTATCTTTTGTATTGCTACTCTGACCGTCAATATAATTATAATGATTCAGAGTGCGAACAAAAAATGTAGTTCTGGAAATTTATATATTAGTGCTCGCTCAGAATTCTCTGTCGAAGGAGAATGGTGAGATCATGGTAATTAAATTAATGTGGAGCTCGTGAATAATCCTGATGAAGAACACTCTGGTTCCTCACGATATGAATAGTCGCTTCTATCGCAATGAAGTCAAAATCCATCCCAAGACGATTATCCAGGGAACAGAGCAGCATATTATCTATCTTTTATGCGTTTTGATCTAAGCTTGCTATGAACGCATGCTGCACAGTTCAACTACGTACAACAAGCCTGACTTCGGACAGAAGTTGAAGTGATGGTTGCCTCAGTAATGACCTCGAAAAGGTTTTTAATTATGCTGCTAAGCTTTTCATACCGCCTCCTCACAGGAGTGAATAGAACAGTAACACACAACCATATTGCGCTACTGGCAAACTATCCTTACTTGTGTTCCGCGCGGAGATCTTAGGACAAGTCTCTGTTTTTACACGCGGGTATTCAATCGTAGTCAGTAGCCCAACTACGATTCCGCTGAAAATGCCTACAACATTTATTCACAGAATGGTGCTCTGACTCTGTCTGCACCTTAACTGAAGCAGGCCTAACATCAGTCCTTGTAGGTACCCCTCGTCTCCTTCTTCCGAATGGGTGAGCACTTAAAACAATTCGTACAGTAGCCGAGTATGACCGCGGGGCTTACATAGACCCAACCTCGCGAAGCACTTGACTTTTTCGAACTGAGTCAAAATGAAGGCTCAGGAAAGCGCAATTTTTTCTGAGAGTAGAACCAACACTTCACTACCAACAAACACTTCCAACAACAACCAATATTTCACTATAGCTATCACTTCAGCACTCATAAGACTGAGTTAAACTTTTTGATTTTTTTCTTTATACATAATATTTTAAACCACTTCAGGTCGGCACATCCACACATAATTAAGTTGGTTACATGGCGAGTATGATTGGGACGGCGAATGTGGTTCGTCGGGTGATCAGGAACAAATACAATCCGTGGACCTGGCTAGGAAAGTGGTTCACTCTAATGGATATCCATTGAGGGTCCGGTGCTCTGCCAGATCACCCCTCGGAAACCACACGAGCTAGCAACTGAAAACTTAGAGAAGGAGCCTTTTTGCCTTTCGTTCCCTTCATGTCGGACTCCGTCAGTCCAGATCTAAGAATGGCATTGCGTAAGTGTGGTCTCGCTGATGCGGTCCGGCTAGTTGGAGTTCCCCTACAAATCTAAGCTAGAGACTGATCGTTTCTGTATTACCCCCGTTGTGTCACCGGTCCCAACGAGCGAGGGGTGACTGCATGGCGTCAGATATGATCTACTTCATCTTATGCAAGCTCTGTGGAGATAAATACGTGGGCGAGACCGGGAAACCTCTGATGTGCAGGGTTGGGGACACCTGGAAGACCTAAAGAGATCAAGGCCTGAAACGCTCCTGGGAAACCATAGGAGGCACCGTCACGAAGATGTAGAGTTTGAGGTATCGATCAGGGTCTTGATGAGGGAGCAAACGAGCTCGGGGCGGAGATTCCTAAAACGTTTTGTATCACGTCCGGAAGAATTTAGTTGGAAATTTGTCTGAATCTCTACGCAGGGATAATAAGTAGTCATTATCACATTGACCATATTTTATCTGCAGTTACCTCTCCCCACTTTTCAAGTACTTTTTGTTGCCACAAGTTCAATGTTGATTTTTTTTGTTAGCTGGATCTCAACTTGTGTTTTTCCTATATGTGCCAGACACATGCAATAAATCTAAATCTGAATCTAAAAGTCAGTGTATTGCTGATTCACTTGTGCTTAGAGTAGGAAACTTGCGAGAGCCTCAATTTTGGGGACCTCTTACAGATTGCCAAGCGACAGTTCTTGAAAAGATGTGCACTTGTCGGACTTTCAGTTACACTTTTTGCTGGCACTTCATTTTGATTCTACTCTGCTATTTCTGAAGAGGCACAAGACTTCCCAGTGTTTTTGTCTTTTGAGTGATATAATATCGCTTCCATTCAGATTGTGGCTGTCATCCTGTTGGGTCACTCAGTAAGAGTTGCAATCAAATGTCAGGGCAGTGCGTGTGCAAAGTAGGAGTGATTGGGCTGGCCTGCAATAGATGCGCAAAAGGGTACCAACAAAGCAGATCTACTGTCACTCCATGTATCAGTGAGTTTCACATTTGGGACGTTTCTAACAACGTGAAGTGTTCCTGTATATTGAAAAGCTTCTAAAAGCACGATTTAGGAATCCCAGTAAAGGAAGGTGGTGGCGGCAAAGGATACTTGGAAAAAGGTTGTTTGTTGTCAGATTTATGCCATGGATGAAACGAAATAGGGGTGGACAAGAATGTTTGTCTCGGAATGTTTCGAAAGACCATACAAGGGCAGTAGTGGTGCAAAGACTAACTGGAGTTTATTTCAGGAGGATGTCGTAAATGTAGGGCCTTTCCGAAAAAGATGAATCAGAAAAAGTACTGCAAGCGAGATTACGGTAAACAATTTTGCTAACTGAGTGAATGGCGTCGAGAAAACCTTTTTACCTAGTTTTCCAAATGTTCGTCACTGGCAAGGAAGTGATTGAATCGTGGGCAAGATATAATGTTGTTATCGAGAACGTTTTCAAGCGAGGAGTGCAGGAATATCGAGGTGAAACCTCGCTCTGGATCTCTTCTCACTCGGTCTTCTGCAATTGCCCGAAGATTCGCATTGGTCGTCGATACATCCTCTTTGGTGGGGAACATTCGCATTTGGTAAAACTGTATCTTTCGTTCATGTATATAAACAGATGTGAGATCCGAACTCTCATCTAATTTCTCATAACTACACTCAAATCAATCAAGTAAGCAAATTTTCCTCTGCTCAATTTTTCTGCACTGCAAAATTATGATCTGATACTCTCATTACAAGCAGCAAAGTTCTGTTGACATTGAATCGTTCAAATCGAAGCCCTTCGAACTTCCTTATAGTCTAGCTAGGCTTATGCCAGGAACGCAGCTGTAAACCTATAATAAACAGCACCGTAGAAGCTTTGCGAGGGAAACAGTTAGGTTTCTTCAAGTGCGAGTATATGGCGCAGGGAAACAACAGACTGAAGAATTAGGGTACCCGAAGTCACATCTTCAATATCCTTCACTTGCCCTTCTCTTCTTTTAACATGAAGTCATCCTTCCTAAGAATTTATGGTCCATGAATATGCAGTGAAACATAAACAGAAGGTTCAGAATTTTTTTGGTCGAAACTCTTGTCGAAAGGTGCGAATCAAACAGGCTGCTGGGGTTGTACTTGTCAAAAACCTTCATCGATCTATAGTTCAATCACTTTGCCCCTCGACTTAGTTCAGCGGCACTGATATTGTAATAAAACTGAATTGTGGTTAGTCATCTGTTCCTTGATACTTATTCATAGGAGTCGTATCGGAATCATGATGTACTACGTTTTAGCAAATGTAATTACTTTATCACACTATGTGTCACAACCACAAAGTTTTCAAAAAGGTTGTATTCGACAACTACACAAAGTCTACAGCCGTGGCTATGAGTTCTGCACTATCCTCTCTCGATGACGTAGTTCCCTATCACGTCCAAATCAGGTAGTGGGGGAGAGTTTCTACTTTCGGGCTTGTCGTATTTCTGATTTCCATCCCCACTGCCCCACTTTTCACCGTTGAAGTTGCAATTATCGCAACAACAATGAATTTCTCATTAGCACTGGTGGCGCTGAAACAATTCATATTAAGTACGTGTGCATTATGATTTTTGAATGCTCTTCGAGTCTACCAAAATTTCACCATTTTCGCTTATTAAATATACGAGTGCATTTTGCGAAGGTACATCCCTTCTCTTCCCTCTTTGGGACTCCTCGAATTATTTCGTGTCTTGTTTATAAAGCGACTACGCATTAAAAGTTTTAGTGGTTTCTGGGAAGGTAATTAGGCCCAACATATCGCGATACTACCGACTTGTTTAATCTTCACAGAAGAGTTTGCTGTCAAATCAGTGATGTTGGTCAGGTAGGCTCATGCAGAATCTTCCAGAAGTAGAAATGTTCATAACTGATTTGTGGCTTATACCATTAATTTTCGTCTGAAATATTGGTAATCGGTATAGGGTTATTACAAGGAAAAAGTTATAAATAAAAATTGAAATTAAAGTCTCATGCAACCGTGTCGGATTTCTGCTCATTTCAACGCTGCCGGGCTACTATAGCGAAATTTTCACTGGTGAAGGTGTTGGGTGAAATTGTATATGCCACTGCAGTCATGGGGAGGCAAAATAGAGGCTAAGGGAAGTGAGCGTGGCTCAGACGCGCCCTTCGCGCTCAGACCTATCCGTTCGTTGTGAATGCCGTGTGCAAATCGCAAATCGCCTACAAAAGTTTAGCAATCAGACAAAAATATTGCAACTCTATAAAGCTCTCGAATGATTAACAGTGACCTCAATGAAATAAACTTACGCACACTCCAGAATGGAGCTCATGATGTTCACTAATACTGAAATATTCGCTAATGAGCTGTGACCTGGAACAGATTGCGGATTTCCAACGGTTCCACCTACTACTCCAGTTGAATGCTGGGTCCTGTTCCAAAACCAAAATTTTCAGGAATTCTCCTCTAACTTGATCAGCTCCTTGATTCTGAATTTCCTGGACGAGCTCTTGTAATTCAGCTATTGATCATAAAATCTAGTGGCGATACAAGTCCCTTCGCTACACGGAAAAACCGTGAAATTAATGGAGTACGATTTTATGCAACATTAGCATTGATTCCTTCATGGGCATAATTAGAGTTTGGGTGGAAATTTCTTAAGTAATCCTAGATTCAATGTCGTGTGATCATTGTCATTCTTTCACCTAGCTAGCGTTGATTTTCATCTCTCCAAAAAGTGAGATAAGCTGTAGATAGTGTGGTCTGTAGTGCTCGTGTCCAGCATCCAATTCCTTTTGATATCTTTTTCAGTTTATCTTGGTTTACGAAGTGCGCTCAAAATTCGTGAGGAAAACATGCCGAAGTTAAGCGAAATGAATTCTTGGCAACTCATCTGAAAATTTTCCGAGTTTCTCTGGGGGTACACAAGCGGTTGAGGGTAATCTAAGGGTCTCCGCTGTTCCAGTAAATCAGTATTGATAATCACTTATCTTGACAAGTCGCTGACCGAAGCCCGTCTGAAAATTTTCTTGGAGCATTGTGGAATTATGTACTCTACTTTTGAAGATTGGAATGATGATCGTGAAGTCATTTTCTCGATTTTGTGTTATGTGTAACGACGCAATCCTTTAGGCCTAGAGTATCTGATCTATGCTCTTCTTACATTTTCTCAACCTCTGCTTAAGAGCTGCCTAGCCTTACGCTTTCTCAATCTACTCGCTGCTGGTCACCTGCATGATATTTTTGTTATAGCACTGGTCAAGCATTCGATAACTTGGTACACCTTTCGATTTTGACGAACAAGCCTTCCCTCCCATCCGAAGACTTGCTCCTGGTTTTATTCACTTCTTTCCAGATTTTGGGTTTTGAAGAGAATAAATTGTAATATCGTATATTTTCATTCTGTAGCTTGCTGCATTCATCCCATATGGAGTTTACTGAGGTGAAGGCAGGTGGATGGGCAGAAAAGGCAAACAGAGTGCTCAATGAATAGTGAAAACTCTGATCCCCGTGAAATCTGATGTTCCAACAATCTCCAATTTTTTTGAATATTGACTTGATGTGTTCATGTGCGTAGCAACGTGTATGCTGCGCAGAAAATTTCCCCAACCAGCACTTGCAAGAAAGACCCTTGTGGCCACACAGTTGCTCTGACAAACAGAATAGGCAACAAGGCGAGTATATATATTAAGCTAGCAATGTAACAGTTAACTTGTCTTCATTGGTTTCTATAGCACTTCACTTCTTAGCGCTATGCCCGCACGCTGGGCATCGCGCAAAGCCGCGAGGTGCTATAGAAACCGATGAAGACAAGAAATACGGGACCGCCTGAAGAGTTTTGTTACAGATCAGGAAGCGATTTCCATTGAGAAAGGAGTACATGTGAGTGAGTGTGAGTCTCAATGTAATGCATAGCGATGTTGAATTTTTATCATCTCGTCTTGCAATAATATGCCTAGCATCGAAATCATAAGATCATCGCCATCACCATCTTTTACTTACCTATCACAAGCGAACTTGATGTTACCTGTGCCCGGCGAGAAGAGTGACCAACGGTTGTTGGTGGCTGTAATGCAGTAGTTTGCTATCGTGAAGAGCGAGGAGGAAATTTGGATTACGGGATAGAAAAAGCAATAAATATAGCACGCCTCTGCTCAACGTAAGGGTCTCAAACAACTCCATAACCGTTGTTATAAAAGAGCGCATGCCAAACTTCAAGTAGTGCTTGTCTGATGTCGTGGATGTGCCTCTCTTCTGCGGTGATTGTGGACATTAGTTCTGTGAAAAGATCGGAAAAAGTGTAGGTCAATAATAATTGCCGAATGTCACAAAAAGGCGCGAGAAAACGCTAGAAGTTAAGGGCTACAGCGATCAAACTGTGGCTGAAATTTTCAGAGATCTGCCTTAGATCATGCACTCTCATTGAAAACCTTTTCGCAAGTGCATACTTAATCATCAAAAGTTGACTTCGCATTTCAGAAAATTGGTATATGGATATCCGCCACCGGTAGTCACTGCTTAGAATGCTATCATGCCAACGACCTCACACTGGTTTCCTGTAAAATTCATTGAAAAAGACGAGACCATATCACCGAGTTCCCTTACAATTTCATTATATCCTATGCCCAAACAGGTGCGCTTCGTTGCGCGCGTCCGTCGATACTAGGTCACGCCGCAGACGTCGCACACGACGGGTCAGCCCGCGATACTTGAAGGACGTCGCAGTCGCCAGTGCGGCATACAATTTGCGCTTGGTCCACGGCAACCAGTTCAAAGAGAAGATAACCCAGCCAAATGCAAATCATTCGCTCCACTGACACAGGTCGTACTGTAAGGCTACCTCAGACCTGTGGTACGCCGCGCGAGAAGTGGGCCGGGTGACCTACTTTTGACGGACGTGCGCAACGAACGTTCTCTGTCCAAACGGGTGCTTCCGGCCGCTCAGTGATAGCATTGCACCGCGGCGTCTTGCAAATCACAGGTCACAATCTAGAACCCCTTATAATGAATGGCGGCGACTCTATAAGTCATAAAAAGCGCTAACTTTATCTGGTGTGGGGGACCAAATCATGGAATATCATTGGAACTAGGTTTCACTTGCAAGGATTGTGCCAACTACCGTCGGACGCACACATACATACATACATACATACATACATACATACAGGAGCCATGAATTCCGTGCAGCTGTCCGCGAGCTCTGCCTATGGTTCGACTTCTCGTTCCGAAATCTCTCCAATGCGTCACGTTTCGAAACACTATGATGTGTGATGATTCATCTTGCACTGTAGAGTGGCCGACATCACTACTTATCCGAAATGCAGTATACGGCGTAACACCCGTAGACATCAGAGTAGAAATTCTTTTACCGTGCATGTGCACAAATACATATATTCTATGCGGCTGCACGTTGAAAATTGGGATGATTGGCATGCTGGCTTGCGTGCAAGCAGCGCAACTTTCTCATAATTAATTTGGTCGAAATCTTTGACCCTGTTCGCAACCTATGATCTATACGATGGGGAGAAAAAGATTATTATCACTTATCTTAGGCACTATGTGCTTCAATGCTGGCAAATTTCATGACATGTTGGCAAGACTCCTTCTTCGATTGAAAAAGGAAACATTGACTGAAATTACGTCATGGCCTTTTCTTTTAAAAGAAAGGGGTAGCGGGAATTCATTCAAAACCATAAACTCAAAGCTTCCACTTGATCATTACACAACTTGGAGAAAAAAGTAACGGACCCAACTAGCTTCGTGATATCTGGCTTGAAGGTTGAGGCCCTTATGTATATGATGTATCTGTCTATGAAAGCTACAACTAATAGTAATCACACCAAAACTAAAGATTGAAGTGGAAGCTGCCTTCATAAATACTAACACCATTCCCTACTGATCAATAGTTCTTTTTTGTTTCCTGACGTCCACTCAAAATCAGTTATCCTTCAAAACTTGAACCCTTTCAAAATTGAAGTGATGCACCGAAAGGAGCAGCTGATTTCCTCCTAAGTCTGAGATCGAGCTTCTTAGGGTCGACCGTTTCCAAATCAAATAGGCTTCGCATATTGGTCGTAAACTTGTTTGAACGTATATTCGATGGATTTACTCAGTTCTAGGCTTTGAATTCACATATTGCCTGCCTTCATGGTTTGATTCGATTGCCCTTCACTTTAAATTTCTGGGCGCACTTCGGAAAAACAAGAGTTCAGATCAAATGAAATATTATATATTACAGTTTGTTTATTTGGCAATCACTTACTTCGTAGCCTATCATTTCGGAGCATAGTTGCAGGTTCAAACACAGCGTCTTTTTAGATTATGTGAAGCATTTCGGGAATTCACCAGTATTCCTCTGATTCAGCCATCACCTGTATACCTATCGTCCCGTTGATCATCGACTTCCTCGAGCAGGCACCAGTGACGTTTCCATTCGTCGGCACCAGTGACGTTTCCATTCGTCCCTGTCACGAGTCAGAGTGGTCCAGTGAATCGCCCTCGCCTCAGGGACACGAGGCTCACCTTCTTTCAATACTTTCGTGATGAAGTTTGGCCATCACGCTGGTGCCAAACTGATGTTCGTTTGACGTCCCGAGGGATCCAGTCAGTTCCCGTCCTTTCATCGCATAACTTGTCCGGCCCACCTGATCTTCGATTTCTTGGCGTAATCAATGGCATCCCTGATCTTTGTTTGTTGACGGAGCTCGGAACTCCGGCTTCCCACTACACTATATAGGGAAACTCCTAGCATCGTCCTTTCCGAAGCGCGTTTAGTAACGCTGACAGCAGCTCATCCTGCTTTCGTAAACTCCAAGTCTCCGAGGCGTACGTCAAAGCAGGAAGGACAGCAGTGTCGAAAAGGAGAGCGTAGAGCCGTATGTTCCTTGTTTCTTCACTACTCCCTCAATATTCTGCTCAATGCTCCCCGCGCGGCGCGTTTCCTCCTCACAGCTCCGAAGCTAGGTCGTTCATCGTGTTGGCTTCTCCACCTAGATACACATAGCTAGAGCATTTGGAGATATTCGTTCCGTTGAGTGTGAAGGGAGCATCATCAGGTATCAATCCGTTTTTTATGAACATCGTCATCGTTAAGTCCATTCTCAAGGCGATCCTTTCACAAGCACTGCCAAACTCGACCAGCATTCGTTCCGCCTGCTCGATATTCGGTGTTATGAGCACGACGTCGTCTGCAAAGCGGAGATCATGTAAGTATCATCAAGTAGCGGCCGACGATCTTCACTAGCAAGCCTTCCCATTCCAAATGACGCATCATATTTTCGAGAGCGGCACTGAAAAGTTCGGGGAAATGGTATCACCCTGCCGAACACCCCTCTTAACGCTGATAATGATTTCTTTGTGAAATGGTGAAATCCTGGTCGTGAAATTGTCGTAGAGCTCACTAAGCATTCTTATATATTGAGTAGGAAGATGTCGAAGGCTGTCTTCAAATCGATGAACGTGAAATATGAAGCCATTTTGTATCTCGCGATACTTTTATGATCCTTTTGAGAGTGTGGGTATGATCGATTGTGCTGGACCCTCTCCTTAACCCTTCTTGCTCGCATGGCTGTCCTTCATCTAATTCTGCCAATCCTGTTCAGGATGACGCGTGAAAAACTTGTAAATCACAGACAGCAGGCAGATTGGGCAATAATCGCCAATATCGACTGAATCTTCCTTTTTATACAGCAACACAGTCTTGCTAGTTTTCCACGAAGTGGGCACGTCGCATTCCGACAGATACTGCGTGAAAAACTAGCCAGGGTTCTGACGATAACTGGTGGGTGGCACCTCAGGTGTTCTGGTTCGATCATGTCAGGACCAAACGCCGTACAGTTCTTCATCGACGTGATGCATGTCGTATTTTGGGAGGGAGAACCAAAGGAGCGATAACGCGATTCCAGGCTGGCGTATCAGCTCGCGAATCTTCGTAGAGAGTCGACTTTGGCTTCTTGTTCACTCTCTGCTTTCCTTGCGCTATCGTGAAGATGTTAGACGAGCCGGTTGTATTCTTCATCGATGTTGTCGATAACGGAATCTTCCCAGTCACTCGCAGAAGCGGAGTGGTCTCAGTTGATGGAGGTCTTGCGGCTTCGTTTCTTAGACTTTATAGTTCTCTCTCCACGCACTGGGAAGCGGAATCTAGCGCAGAGGAGACGATGGTCTGAACCCGTGTAGAACTTCGAAGCAAAAGCGATGCCAGTCAGGCGAGATTTCCGATTGGAGATGAGAAGGTCTATTTCATTATGTAACTGTTCACTAGGAGACTCCCATGTCCATCGCAAATGAGAGTCCTTCTGGAACTGTGTGTTACCATGGATGGTGTGAATCGACATGATAAGCTCAGAGAGCCTTTCACCCTGATCATTTTATTTCATTCCACTCCGTGAGTCCCGAAGTGAAGCACTTCAGCCGTTTCTCTGGGGCAAATCTTGGCGTTAAAATCACCGACGATGAGCTTGAGGATAGTTTGGACTTCTCCCAGAGCCCAGATCCATATAAAACCCTTCCAACTGCTCTTTTTCGTAGCTCGATGTTGGTGCACAGGCAACAAAGATGGTTAGAGCTAGGGTTGTGCCACATATTCATAATCGCAAAGGTTCGATTCGGGTTGTTAGGCTTTCGTACGAATCGATGTTCATGGCAAAATGCGTATTGACGAGGACACCTACGCCGGCGACGCCTCTGCTGTCGCATGTTGCAAGAAGCAGCTCTTCTTTATATTCAAATACAGCGTGCAGCGGGCGATACCTTCTCGTCTCGGTCAGTCCGATGACGTCGTACTTCATCTTCCTAGCTTGCATCATCAAGTCTTCTATTTACGCTTCCGATGCAACGTCCGTGCGTTGAAAGTACGGATCGTGATCTTAGTCCTTCAGCCTGTTTTGGCCCCGAGATTTCAGCAGCCTCTCCCGAGTAGTCCTACCCAACGCTGCCGCATTGGGGCTTCCTCATATTCAGGGGAATGAGACCCATTTCTATTACTGCTTTTGGCGAGTAGATACCCAACGTATAATTTTCCAGCCTCTGCCGTGGGGGCTGGGTTGACTCCGGGGGCTTGCCGGACTATCCTAAAGCTTGGACGAGGGGCTTTGGAGGCGGCCCCGAATCGGACCCCAGATACTTCCCAGTCGCTCGAATGTGGGATTTTGGCTGAGCCGATGTGTAGGGCATCGACTACACCCACAGACTCTCCACACACGTATGCGTGGATAAGCGTACGAGGAACAGGAGGTATATATCGACCAGCTCAGCAGAATCAACCCTGAATCCACCTGTGTCTCTGCGCGAGTACCGGTGACTTTTGGTCGGCGATCAATTTCCCTCTCCACCACATGGGGAAGCCCAGGTAGCCTCGGCACTAATATAGTGGGGATCCTTCAGTGAGATAGAACCTCAATGAAGGAGATCTGTAGCTTGTTCGGCCATATGTAGGATATTTAGACAGAAAAGTATCAGCTTGGTCGACTGATTCCGATAGAAAGAAGCTAAGGAAAATGATTCGATCGTTCTGCTAAATCTATATCAACTGTCACATTCGTTGTTAGTGCTCTTGTTACAATTTCGATCACATATCAAAAAAATTACAGATTATATCAGTGTGCCTTCCCTATTATGGATCGCAGTTCCTTTGAAGATGTCAGAATATCAATGTCGGACACATTGTACCACTTAATGTTGCGAGCAATAGGGAAGAGATGTGGCTTGTGGCTTTACTTTTACCTACTTCCAGGAAATGATAATGGTAATCATGAGTGGCAAGGAGTAGTGATTGACGCGAAGACTCTCATTCTTGATTGGGATAAACGTAACATAGAGAAGGTGAGGCGTTTTCAATACGAAAAATTGCTGGCTCCGCTATTGCATGTTAACATCGAATAAGTTAGCAATCTAGAAATTTAGTGCGAGCTTCGCAAGAGGAAGCTGGCTCCCGTAGAAGGTCGTAAAAAAACGAATCACTTACACTTTTCGCGTTTTCAAGAGAATAGCAACATATCCTGGGTTCCGCTTTGATAAGATCAGTTATACATGAATTGCAAAGTGCTTGAATTATCTTCTTCTTTTACATGATAGACGATCCTGTGAACACAGTCGTAAGGGTCTATCAATGAGTGGAGCACTTTCCGTAAGCCTAAGCCACATAATGCATCTTGATTTAAACCTCATCTTTTGTGAATGCGCTTGTTCGATGCAGTAACACATCTCTCTTGTTACAAAACCATAAATCAATTAATCACTAGCCGTTTTCTACTTCTCTAAGCCATTTTCCCCATCATTACAATGGAGTGATTCACGGCTCTTGTTATGAAAGCATTTCTGTGCACGTCAAACTCATTACGGATAACCTCTCTAGAATCTTTCGAGTCAATCCTCGCTCGACATTGACATTGCGCATTTCGACGCGGTGCGCCCAAGGGAGCGCGCTTCCGTTTTTCGGAAGGTACATCCCCACCGGTGGGTACCATTGTCCTACAAGGAAGTTCTTGCCCTGTTTACTAATTTTAGCAACATCTCGTATAATAGCAGTATCAAAATCTTATTCCATTCACTATATATAATCAAAGCTCATAAATGGGTTCCGGGCTTGGGATCAGTGTGGGATAAGATGGGGATCAATTCGTGCTTTGTGACTGCCATGTTGATATCGACCGGGCGATCACATGGTCGCGAATCAGTATCTAAGGCCTTAGGCCTTCAGGACGTGGAGGTATCTTGCGGAAGTTTCTTTAGTAGCACCCCGCTGACTTATGTTTGTAATAAATAACCTTTTGCATAACATTCATATAGACAATGTTGAATATGAATAGCACAGAGTTTACTAATACACATGAAAATACGGAATGAGTTTGACCCTGCTGAGAAACGAAAAATCATGGTGGCACACAACAATGTGTCATGGTCCCATGCGACAGTAAGAAAGGCACCCAGCGGTGGGCTTCCTTTTACTTGCTGATACATCTCTGTTTAAATATGGTAGTGAAAAGAGCAGCTGGTTGGTTTTTTTTTCTATGAGGTTCGATCCGGCTAATATCGACTTTCTATTAGAAATTTTATCGAAATTCCGAAACAGAGAGAATTGAAAGTAGATATAAGTGCATGTCTGCAACAAGTAAAACTCTTGCCCTTTTCCTTCATGGGTAGAGACCAAATAAAGCGGTTTATCGTGATGAACTTGATTCGCATAGCAGTGTAGAACATTATGCAACATGCGTTTAAATAAGACCGAACTAGGAGCCTATTATGCAGGAATAAAATTATGAGAATTTCCAAAATCGAAGCCATGCTAGTGCGATAATATGCGGAAACCAATCAAACAAGCAGCGATGGGTGGGCTACAAGTTCCTGAGTGACGGGATCAAAGCGTATATGACAGCCCTGATTGTGCCTGTCATGAGGGTAACGCCCCATCAAGGTATCCTTCACCTTCTAGTCCTTGTCCACCGCAGCTCAAGATCTTCTTATACCCTTAGAGTCATATATAATGTTTGACAGAGAACAGGGGAATCCTAGAGGAAATGTAAGCGATGCCCCTTCATCTTTCCCGTTTCCTTTTCCTTTCGAACCAGATTTATTTGCAACCCATCCGTGTACGTCTCGAGAAATCGGATTCTCAGTGCCTCATAGAAGAGGTGAAGGCGAATTCTAAGATTTAGATAGAAGGCTCGTCTATAATCGTTTTAACAATTAGTTGTGACTAGCATATCTCCATAATCGGCGTCTATAATGGAGGGAATGGGATGTAAGCAGAGTGCACTAATTCAGGTCATTCTGTTTACCACAAGCTATCTAACGAGAGGAAGAGCACGAGGTTGGAATTCATGGTCGCTTTCTACTAATGTTAGAGATCACTTGCTTGAGCTGTAAAAGTCGAAATACTCACTTCTGAAGATGACTTAGCGGCAGTGACATAAACTAAAGAATGAGTTGGTCGAAATTACGCGCTTGTTACACTCGTGTACGCCGCGTAGAAACCTTCACGCCCAAAATTTTTTAAGTGGTTATTGCAGCAGGACACCTCAGTTCCACGAAGGAGAGGCTCTAGTTACGTGTCTGTTTAGCGTATTAATCTAGATGTGATGCATACAGTTTAACTGCTTCTTACATTGGATTATAGTAGAGCGAGCCCCCTGTGGCGCAACCGCATCGCATGCATCAAACAAAGAAATCGCGCGTCGTCGTGTGCTGGGAACACGCCGCACACTTCGAAGAACGAGACATCCACACGTAAGTAGAATAGCAGAATAGCGTAAGGAGACATGGAAACAGCTGTAGTGGTAAAAGTAGTCGGTGAACCAGATGCAAACTGTCGGGCTGGGGAGGTGGGGGGGGGGGAGTTGGCTTCTATACCGCTAATGATTTTCATGGTTTTTGAAATTGATCTCATCGACTTCACCTTACTCTGAACCCGAGGCCATGCACTAATGCTGACGGCTTTTTTCAATACTTGGAACAGTTATTTTTGTCAGGAATGACTTTGTGTTACTCTTCGCTTTCTTTATTTCCTCTCCTTTATCGTTAGTAGAGCTGAACTGGCGCTCCATGTGTTGTTGGAAAGATGTTTCCGACGGAATTTTTTTATAGGAACAGTGGAACAAATGAATGAAGTGCATCATCCTTGTGCAAACAACGGATCGTATTTCGTAATTCTATTTTTACGAGGCGAATAGTTTCAGATAAATGGTAGACATTTGTTGTTACCAAATTGGATAGGGAGTCGGGAAATTTCTGTTCATTCTACATCTGCTGCTGCTCTGCTGCAATTATATATAGTAGCGTTCAAAAGTCTTCGGCCCAACGGCTTTTTCGGCTGTGGGCCCAACGGCTTTTTCGGCTGTGCGTTTCTTCTTACAAGAAAAGGATACTAGGTCGCAGTAGCCATTCAAGATGAGGTGTATACCGACGGGTGTGTTCTCAAACGCGGATTTCAAGCCTGGGTTCCGAATCGCGAAACGATTCTGGAAACAAAGTTATGAGTCCTTTTTTCCCCGGGTTCTGCTTTTATGTGCGACTCGAGCAGTTCCGAGCATGGAGCGATGGCCGAGTTGGGAGGGCGATGGACTGGTAGGCGCGAGACGGAGGTTTGAGTCCTTAATGCGTTTGTTTGTTTCGCTTTTTCATAAAAAGTGTTCTAAACTTTTGCTGAACACATTTACGCATCATGTAGACCACTTATAGCCCTCCTTCATAACTACGGAGCGTCTTGAAATGATAATACAAGTAAAATTCTTTGTTTCTTCCACTGACCGAATAGGGGTGCAAATAGAACCACTCTGGGCACCTAAGAGGTGGTCACGATATTCAGCAGTTCCATGCAATTTCGACAAAGGGCGGCCACGCAACTCGTCGGACCATAGCACTTTTAGATGAAGAAAGTGATAGAAGTGAGCTGGTACAATGAGCTGACACTTTTTATGAAAAAGTACTGTCAAATAATAGATGAGCCTTTTATTAACAGATATGGTAATCCAACACGAAGTGTTTGAAGCAGAAAAACTTTTCACAATAAGAGCAACGTAAGAAACATAGTTCATCAGACCCATCACTCTTACAGTTCTCGTCTAGATGAGACGAGAAACAGTACTAGACAGGTGTTTCGAATTTTCTAGGGTCTGTACCCAGTACCCTTCTGCAAACTATGAATGAGAAAGGAATCTTCAAAACTAGGCGAGCTAAACAAGAAGTATACTGGGGAGATAAGGCGAATTATGGAGTTGACGTGGAATTCAAGATCACGGGAAATTAGGAAAGAGACAATACATGACTTTGAATGGTAAGGAAAAACTCATATAGAAAGGCTGAGTTTGAAAGTTCAACCAAGGTAAAGCGTTGAACACTCTCACCTCCTTGCCAGTTGGCAAAATACCCTGAATCGCTTCATGGTCCTTGAACGAGCTCCATGAATCGACGATCAGTGGGATTGAAGGCAATCCTGCGATATAACGCATGATCTAACCCAATCCAGCATAAGTTTTTTGCTCATTGTGTGGGTTGTTCTGACCGTGATCTCCAGTTCAAATCGGGAAACGAATGCGATACGACCACTCTTGGGCAGAGCATATGTCTGATAATATGTTGGGAGCACTTTGATCGATTGAATGTTTTGCTCGTGAGTTTCTGTCGAATCCTCCAGATATTGATCAAATTTCGCTATTCTATTCTGAGCAAAGCTTCCTCAGCTCTTCCCTGCTGAAGTGGTAGTGCACCCGTATTCGTTTCGTGTATTAGCATTTCTGGCACTCCATAAATATGAAGGAGGGCTGTAAGTGGTCTATATGATGCGTAAATGTGTATTGCAAGCGTTTAAGACTCTGTTTTTTATACAAAAGCAAAACAAGCAAATGTATCAAAGATTCAAACCTCCGTGTCGCGCCTACCACTACATGGTCCTCCCGGCTCGGCCACAGCTGCATGTTAGGAACTGCTCGGGTCGCGTATTAAAGCAGAACCCAGGGAAAAAGGTATAGGGTATTCATAAATATAGGGCCACCCTAAATTTTCGCAGCTCCAAGCTTGCAGCGCACTTTTGGAAAATGCTACCATAACCAATAGATTCCTCATTAATAACGGGAAACCTTATCACAGACTTTGTGGTGAAATTTCACTCTAGAATTGTTGAAATAATGCCCTTGGAAGGTAGTCTCACCTTTTCATGAGTAAGACTACACATTCTTTAACGAAAAAATTTGTTATATCAGAGTGGATGTTACAACCTCTTAATAATGGGTTGGTCCTCCATTATTCGCAAGGACTTCACCAATGCGTCTTAGCATGCTCTCAACCAGGCTAGCTTTTAAACTGGGATTCAAATTTGTCCAAGCGTCGAGGATGGACAGTTCGAACTCCTCGACTGTGTTGTACTGCTTTGCTTCGTCGTGGATCTTCTTGACAATGAAGGCCCAGTCATTCTCCATTGGATTCAAGTCTGGAGAACATGCAGGCCACTCGAGAGCTGTGATATTTCTACTTGCAGTCCATTCCGAAGTGGAACGACTGACGTGGACAGCTGCGTTATCGTGCATGAAAATCAATGAACGACAACGGTGTTGTCGAAGAAGTGGTAAAGGTCTCTCCTCAAGCACTCTCTGGTATTCTGTGGAATCCATACGACAGGACACAAAAGCAAGTTTAAGCCGTCCTGCCGCACAAAAGGCGCCTCAGACCATGAGAGATCTTCCACCGAAATTACGTCGCTCCAAAACCGAGGGTGCTTTGCGCAGATCTCTCTAATACCCTCGTCTACGGTCAGGTCTGTCTAGATTTAACTTTTTTCGTCGCTCCATATTACTTCAAACGTAAAATAAAGATACAGAGTCAAAAACTGCAAAGTGTCGTAACAGCCGCACCTTCATACAATCAAATGAGGCGTTTTTCACGGCGAATTGGAGGCGTGCAATTTTGTGTCGCTCCGATAGTCTTGGAACCCACCTCATCAACTATCTGGTAATGCTTCGGCTCCGCTGGGTTACCCTCCAGACAGTGGTTTTGCTCCCACGAAGCCGCATTCCAGAGCGGACCCTGTTCAGGCTCTTCGTTGAATTTGACAAAACTCATCCAATTGCTCTTTCATCTCCGGCAGAAAGCGGCCATGGTCGACCTTAACTACTCTTCTTCCCGTACTGATCAGGATTCCGCAGAGATTCGTTAATGCAGTTGCGTGACCGGCCGATATGGGCGGCAATCCTCCTTCTCGACCATCCGGCCTCAAACAGTGCTCTGACTTGTACTTATTCCTGATTAGAAAGACGAGTAGGACAAGACATAGTCACACGAAACCGAGCAAACTCCTGTATGACCCCGCATCCCGATTCCATTAGCAATATTAGCATTTTCTCAACATGCACAGCAAATTTGAAATCACGAAACTTTAGGGTGGCCATATATTTATGAAACGCATGTAGTAGTAAGTATTCACAATACACCCATGCTGCACATATTGGAATTTCCCTGGATGAGATCACGCAGGAAAGGAGTTGCGACTAGAGGTAGGACTCAGGGAGCTGACTGAATCACTGGCTGACTTTGGCTGATTGCTTCTGAGCACCACTGTATATACTAGGCTGATGCATATTTTTTCCCGACATTTTTGTAAATGTCTCCATAGCGAACCAACATGAGGATCAGGGGTATGCACCAACACCATCCGCTACTCGACGCCAACGCCCAGGCAGCTTGTCGATTCTTTGCTCTTGGAAGGACGGGATTTGAAGAAGTCGTCGAGGGTCTTTCTAGTATCATCTTCTGTTTCGAACATTTTCCCGTCCAGAAAGCGCTGCAGGTGGCTGAACAGTCAGTAGTGGGAGGGAGCGAGATCAGGGCTGTTGGGGAAAGGGGGCTAGGCGACAGTCAGCCAGCCGTATTTCTCCAGCTCGAACTGGGACGATTTCGCGGTGTGAAGGTGGGCGTTGTCATAGTGGAAGTGGATTTCCGCATTCGATTCATGAGTACGGTCAACGTTATTTTTCAATTTTTGCGGCTGGGAAGAGTATGCAGGAGCGCCAATCGTCTGTCCCTTCCCCAGCAACTCTCAGTGCTCAGTGCCTCTTCTGGACCACCAACAGGACAGGAGAACCATCATAGAGTGAAGGTCAGTCCTTGGCTTCTGGCTATTCTCCTTTGCCGAAACATTGCCGTTTCCTCACAGGGTCATAAAAGAGAAACAACTTCTCATCATCAGTGACCATTGAGTTTAGAAAGTTGTGCTCGCTTTGAAAAGTGAGGGAAGAAGCACAGGTGGCTACTCCTCTCGAGAAGTCAGTTTATGTGGGACCCCTCGACCAAGCTTTGCTACCTTGCCGAAATGATCAAATCTATAATAAGTTCAATCATCGCTTAATTATAGACGAGCATGGTCACCATTTCTCTGGTGGTTCGGTAAAAGTCCTCCTCTACGATGGAACGTAGTACTTCCGAATGCAACTCCATCGGTCGAATGTTCGGAACAACCTTGGAAGAAAAGTCTCCTTTATTAAATTTGGCGGGCCAAGTCATGCATGTGCGGTATGCGATGACGTCCGTATGTTTCCTCTAGTTTGGTGTTGGCTTCCTTTGCTTTCCAGCCGAAATTGTGAAGCGAAACTAGGCTGTGGCGCAGGTACATTCTGTCGCAGTGGTAATTGGGAGGTACTGTGACCTTCAGAGGGAGGGTGGGGGAGTGATAGCTAGTGTGATGAAAGAGTATCATGCCTAGGTTACGCACTCATGATGACGATATACCAACATCCCTGCAAAGGAGATTTGGGAGGATTGAACCCCTGGGAAAATACTTATGCATCAACCTAATATATGTATATTCATATTTAAGTGTATACATACATACATGAATTGAAATAAATATATAGAAGCTGACACGCCGCAGACACAGCCACCGGTACATATTTACGTGGACATGTTCATGTAGACAAGCATGAACAATGCTTGCCACACATTTGAGCGATCAACCGTTCACAGACATGTAGCAAGTGACAAACAATAGTCACAAACAGTAACTGTCTTAGATGTATGCAGATGAGAGCAAAAGAACCATACATGTAGCACTTAATTGCAATGTTTTTAAATCAAGGTAGGATGGAGTAGATTTTGCTGTTTTATAGCCTTAACTCATCTTTCTAGCATTCAGGTGCTACACCTCTCCAAAGTAGATGAGCTCCATCGATGTCCAAACTCTAGAAGAACTTAGGTTTCACACAAACTGGCTCTTCGGTTGCACTTGTTTGGTGTCGTATTTCTATAGGCCAAAAAAAGCCTTCGTTTGGATTGTTTTTTGATTTTTTTCAAGTGCTGAATAGTCGTACGTCTTAAAATTCATAATATTGACGTTGTTCCTATTATAACTCAACATGCTAAGTTGTCGTCGACATTTCTATTGATGTCTAGATGTCTTATTTTAGATTTCTTCAGCGAGCACTTTGGAAACGTACCGTTGAAAGTAACTAGCATGTAAGACATCATTTAAGGCTAGTAAAGGTTTTAAACTTGTCACAGGCATAGCATATAAGTGCATGCCGTAAATGTGGTACTCAATTGCTCGAAGGCCTAGCAAGACCAAAAGGTTCTCTGCGTTATCTGTACTCGTGTAAGTGTATCATCCCATTAGCCTCTTATGACTGGAATAAAAATCTAGATCCATATCTAATTAGCATACGCGAAAAATGTGAAAGATCTTTCAAGGTCGGTGAGTTATTGGCCAAACTTCGGCCTCGGATGGGTCGAACCTTTCATGACTTTCACACTGCGTACCGCAGCGAAATAACGACAGTCACCAATTATCAAGTCGAAACGATCGTGAATCTGCTGTCCTAGCGAGGTAGTACTTCGCTTATAAATAGTACGATATGTATGTCGAGAAAGTAGAATGAGGGGAACAGATGCGAGGCATCCATTCGAGTTTATCTTACGCTTTGGGCAGTTCGAGATATGGTCCACTTCTCGTTTGAAACATTGCATACCTCTCATCAAGTGAATAATATGTGTACCTCTTCCAAAGAACCTTGGCAATGAGATTTATCCTGAGAGAGACTACCCAGAAAAACAGGTCAATGAACCAGTAGTGTGGAATAGAATTAGAAACTTTCTTGAAACCCGCAATAATATAATTGTCTTTCTTAAGTCCTCAAATCAGCGCGCGATATCGGGAAAGAAAGCGCAATGGTAGCGCACTTAAAAAGAGATCTATGCTGGCATTATTGTTCATTACATAGGAATCGATTGAGAGTCAGGCGATCATCTCGAAAATGTCATCCGTACAAAATGCCAAGTTAGTAATCCTGTAATTTCTAGCTAGTTTACGAGGTTTCTCGTGCGCACAGGTCTGAGGTGCCTGTCCCAGTAGCGAAAAATTGTACAACAGGGAAAGCCTCAACGTGAATTTGAAAGATACTTTTTCGAGGACGGCATGAGGTATACCTCCTAATGAAATGAGTTCTTACTGGCCGAATTTCTAGGCAGCTCATAGACAGAGTCAGCGGTGATTTCAGTTTGCTCGATTTGAACATTGATATTCGGACACGTTATGGTCCGAATGAAGCACACGTTATATTCGCAGTTTTCAAGTTTCTGCTGCAGCGCTGGAAGAAAGATCTCAAGTTTTCCAGCTCGCAGAGCCCTTATTCCTCCTTTAGAGCCTTAGAAAGTGATCCATCCTCCAATTTCCGAGCACACCTTACATGTAAGTGTACCTATAGCCGGATGAATTAGGATGACTGTGCCAAACTTCAGCTCTCAGACTACGATTTTTTTGGTATGCAACATGGGAGCTGATTTATCCCAAGAAGAAATGAAAATTATGTATAGTAAACTTGAATACTATGAAGGTTGGCATTTGAACAAATTTATTAAATTAAGGGGAAATGGATCGAAGACGTAGCTCAAGTTCAGTTTCGCTAGACGGAAGTCAAACTAGACAATAATCTTCCTTCGTGCTCATACGTGGGGTAAGGGAGAAAGAATAAGAATAAAAAAGTGAGAATAGATAAAAACCACAAAAGATTATACATAATAAGGTAAAATTCAAAGGATGCATTAGGAATATAAAGGAGGTTGTAGCACAGAAATTATTAGACTGTAGTTCGTGTACTTTTGATGTATTTCAAGTTACTGTGGTGTTGATGTATTACATTGTTTGCATGTTGCTTAGCGTATAACATATAATTTTATTGAACTGTATTTGAATATAATAGTAGTAAAAAAGGCTAACTATTTGTATATATGTAGATAAACAACAAGAAATACAACAAAAAATTTCGAGTAGAGGATGAAGGGCCATTTGACTGGCGGAAAACATTAAGGACCAAACCTAGAAAGGCAGGAGGGGCATGATACCTGAGAAGTTAAACGTAACCTGTCTAGGAAATCAAGTGGTTGCATAACTAATATTATCATAGTCTATATCTAATATCTAATAGTAAATGGTTTATATCTTAAGCAGTAATTGTAGAGTATCAATTTAATTCTAGCTAAACACTTTATAGGACCTGTAATAAAAATATCCTCACTATAACTCGATTGACTTGCTTGATATCCTATATACTTTAAAATATCTGTAAAACCTTTCCACATGTACAAGTTCTAGGAATTTTTACGACTGCCGAGTAAAGATACTAAGTGTCATACCTTTGGAAACGTTAGTAGCGTGATGTGGGAAAAGTTTGACGAGAAAGCCAAATTATCCGTTCTGTTATACATATTTGTTAATATTTTACCTTCTTTTATGAGTATTCGTAAATCCAAATAGTTCACCTGTATTCATCGTCGTGACTTATTTCTAATGCAAGAGTGTTTTTATAAACTCGTCTAAGTCTTGTAGAATTGTACCAGCACCTGCGTTATGTATAATAAGTAAATTATGAATATTCAATGCTAAGGATTAACGCATTACATGAAAGTTATTATTTCAAGTCCTAATGAGTTAACCCTTAGCATTGAATATTCATATTCAAACAAAGACAACATAAGGTCTGCTAGCAAAGGTTTTGCATAACTACCTTGAGAAGCCCCTACCTTTTGTATGAATAAATATTCTGAAATTTGCAGTGGCCATAGGATAGTAAGTAACCGGTAGCATGATACTCTATAGTACAGTAGTTTCATCTCGTATAAGACATACCGTCCATGTAGAACGTATTGTATCCACTGCTAGCTAAATATTTCTTGTTGCTATTTTTGTAGCATAACTCCGAAACTTTTTCGACATTTTTCATTATAATGTAATGAGGAAGGTTGGTGAACATATTGCTAAAGTCTGCGAAAAATATTTTTATATTATCCCGCTTTATGTTCTGCACTTGCTCACTTATACTAATATTAAACATAGACCAGCATCCTGATAAAATAACTGTTCCTAGTTTTAATGGTATCGTTATATTTATAGAAGTGTGCCTTGATAAACGTGAATATTCTACCAAGGAATACAGCTAAAAATTTTATCCTACTACTACTGGCACCAGTAATGAATCTCAACTTTGTAGGCACTTTGTGCAGTGTAGGATTAGCGTGAACTATTGCTGTAGTCATTAAGCTTAGATTCTGTAAATTATTATTATGTACAAATTTCCTGTGTGTATCGGTAACGTCGCTGAAGCTACTATCGTTAACAAACTTGTAAGGATTAGACGGTATATTTATGTATATATATCAATTCCTTAAGTCTCTATTTGAATCTCATCTCCTTCATTATGACATTGGATATAGTTTTTTTACCCCATAGTTGTTACTAGTTTTATCGAGGAAACAAAAAAAGAGTCTATTTGAGTTTGGAATTTGACCAATTCCCGTTTGAGCTCGCTGTCTATAACAGAGGTGGCGTTATTGGGACCTTGTAGGGTTAACCTAGATTAGGACTAAGCGAATAATTTAAGTTTAATTATGTTGCCGATTTCTTTAAAATTTTATCTTTTCACTTATACTTGCCTTTGATCACTTCAATATGTCTGCGCTAGTAATATTTCTATAACTGTCTCTTATTGACATTCTCTTTGATCCTATACTTATATCCTTTGTCTGCGACCTGTTTACTATTATTATCAGGTATTATGTTTGTATCATCTGTTACTATATTTCCTCAATGAATATCTACATACGGATTGCAGCGTTGATTCTGATATACACAGTCTGTGTCAAGATTAATTTCCGAATGATTATTGCCAAGAGTTCTAGGAACCTTATTACAATTGAATATCATGCTAGAGACGAGGTTGCATATTTATATATAACCCTGAACGGTATATAAGGAACATTAGAAGTGACTTTAATTATATTGGTAATATCCTTTAAGTCAACTATTCTATTTATATTAACAAAATTCAAAACATTGGGCAAATATTTAGTATGTAACCCACAGTAGCTGACTTTTTTGTAAGCTTCACTCCTTTTTTCTTGAGAAAAATGAAATTCACACAAAAGGCGTAACAAAATGAACTGTGCCTGAGAGGAAACTTTTGTCCCCCTTGTGCAAAAAAGGAATCCGAATAACACAAAATTATAATTTTACGTGTACTCCTCTGTTTAATTGATATAACTTCTTTTGATTATTTGAAATCCATTGTGTTCTTGATACGATTTAAAAACGTATCAATCACGAGCCGATGATCACCTTTTTAATTCTTTAGCTATCTTTCTTTAAGCCCTTCCTTGAACTTCTTTCAATAACTGTAAGACTAGGATATGGACGGTTACTCTTATGAATAAGGAGTTTAACTATACTAGAAATGTTGTCATATATTTTAATGATATCGCTATTACCAAAATGAAAGGCAGTTACTGAAACTTTAATCCAGAGTGCTTCTTCGTCCTGTAAAACGTGTTTTCCTCCAGGTTATCCAAAATACTAAGTAACTTGCAATACTAAATAACTTGCTTACTATTGCAATCTTGATTAGAATGTTATACACGTATTTACTCGTACTACCTTCGTTGATATAAGACAAATGTTTTCTGCTTCTTACTGTAAAGCTTCTAGTTGGACATCGGACATATTGCATACCGCACTTATTACAAGAGATACAGTGAATAACGTTAGTACTACTACAAATAGATGTGCTCTCTACGTATGTATTAATTTTCAAATCTGTAACGTGTGCTACTATGAAACTACACTTATCGATTAACCAGTTAACTAATTAAGTTATTTGTTGCACATGCGCACGCCATTGAACGGAAACTACTAATACAGATTGAGTAAAT